TAATCATCTTCTCTGAGAGGCTGGTATTCATCTCATAATTATATATACCGCAAATATTGATTCAAGTTTGTTATAACAGTGTGAAACTGATACAGAATGGCTTTGAGAAGCTTTCTTCGGGGAACTTCACCAAGTAATGTTGAATGTTTGATATAAAAATGAATCTTTCGTTTAATTTTGATGCTTTTATAAATTCGATACAGAATTGTTCTGGATCTTATTGACGTGTTTGAGCAATCTGGTTTCACAGTGATATATTGTGAACGAGTCAACTTCGAGTATGTGATCTCTGAGGCTATAATTGCTGCCTAATCTCTCTTTGCCGAATTCCATCAAAATAATAAGAGTATAGTGTACCTACCTTCGTCTCAGCCTAAGATGGCTGCTGCCGGTAGTGACGTGACAAGATGACCGTTCCTGTAGTAAAAGGTATTGGCTGCACGAAAGTGACGCCACAAGATGACTGCCGCCGAAAACAATGAAGCCGGCACCAGAAATGACAGATGACGCGAGTGACACGTGACACGTGAGAGGTGACACGTGACAGATGACATTAAGCATGGAACACAAGGGCGTAACAGATGACACGTGACAGATGCCATGCAGCATGTAACACAAGAAGTTGCAGATGACAGATGACAAGTGACATATGACATGATTCACGGACCACAAGGAGTAACCTCAGGTAACAAGCTGACGTCATTTGTACGTCAATATATGGTCATTTATGGTCATTTACGTCATATGACCTCAAAATGACGTCATTTTGACGTACTTAATATGACGTAATATAGACGTCCTTCATATGTCGTCAATATGACGTCATCTGATGGTCATTTCCATGACTAATTATGACCATCATTTATTGAGTCATCTACATCAAGGAAAATCCATAATCAAGAAGTTTCCCATCTCTGTTATATGAAAACGTTAGTAGTTATGTTATATAACATATATTATTATGTCACTCATCATATATTATGCTTCATAATAGTTTCTCCTCTAATCTGTGCGAGATGTGCGTTTTCGATGGTCTCTGAGCTAATTGTTAATTATATACCTTCTGTGCAAAGTATTCTCCCTATAGCTATTAAAAATATAAGACCGAATGTCACGTCATAAAAAGATTATAACGTTATTATTCCGGAATGCGAATTCAAATCAGAGCGGGAGAGTGCGTAGAGAACTGTATTCGATTGGTCGGCACGGACCTTGCGCAGACATGCGAACGTCGACCGCCAGCGCCAACCCACAGCCGTCTTCAGAAGACGGCTGTGGCCAAGCCGTTCACTTTCGCTTCGCCGTTGCGGCCATGATGACCATAACAACAAAATAACAATACATAGAAGGCCATCATTATCATGTTATTCGGCTATCTATGTTGTGTGGTGTGGTGGTCATACTCATTCATATTCATATATCAAGTAGTAGAATTTGAAGATGGCAGCATGGTCATTATTTTAGACAAGTGGTGTATGCCGAAAGAGCAGAATGTGAATTGGACGCCATTGAAGGAATACCATAGGGTTCTGAGAAATCTCTTGAGTGCATCATCCGAATGGGATAAGTTCCCAATAAAAAGAACATTTTATGAAACTAGTATTTATAGTACCAACCTATAATATTATTTTGCATTCAATGTGGTAAAGGAACATCAATATAATCATACAAAAAACATCTCATCTTTTCTGATAATATTGAAACAACCCTAATGCAATAGTGTTTTTTTTTACCTACAGAAAATTTCGAAATAGCACAAAATGAACTGAAACATGCCGAAGATTTCAGTGATATAAATAATCGTAAAGATCACGTCATTTTGACGCCATTAGGATGTCGTCATTTTGACGTCATCAGGATGACATCATTTTGACGACATGAAAATGACGTCATTCGTCTTTGACTTAGAAGGTCATATAAACGTCATTATGACGTCATTTTGGAAGTCATCCTGACGTCAGGCCTGACGTGATAATGACGTACAAATGACGTCAGCTTGTTACCTGGGACAGGTAACATGCAGCATGGAACACAAGAAGCGGCAAATCGACAGATGACGAGTGACAGATGACATGGAGCATGGAACACAAGAAGAGACCGATAACGAGTGACAGGTGACATAGAGCACAAACCACAAGAAGTGATAGGTGCCATGAGTCATGGAACACAGGAAGTGGCAGATGACAGATCACAAGTGAAAGATGTAATGAAGCATTGAACATAAAAAGTGAAATATGACACGTGACAAGTGCCAGGTGACTTATAACACGTGAGAGATGACAAGTGTCAGATGACAAGGAGCATGGAACAAGAGGAGTGACAGATGAGACGTGATAGGTGACAGGTAACAACATGGAACAGAGGGAGTGACAGCTGATAAGTGGCATATAAGAGATGACAGCCGACACCGTGGGACTCTAGACACTAGACTCTCGACTCTGAACTGTAAACTCTGAATTCTGGACTCTAGACTCTAGGCCTTTCGGAGCCTTCTAGGACATATCCTTCCTTAATTTTTTCAGATTTTTCAGGTATTTTCTCTCTTCGTCTCTATGATATAAAAATATGAATACTTTTTCAATATACGTGTAAAGTTAGGACGAATCAGATGATTTTCCCCATAATATCACTGCGTTCAAAGAGTTTTCCTATCAGGGGGCCAAGAAAAAAATCACTAGCTTGTCATTGACAATTTGGATTGAAGAAGGTTCGGCAGGTGGTCGATCAGTGATCCATCAATGCCTGCTTTGTTCTCGCTGGGAGACTGAACATAATATTCGAACTTGTTTGCAGCTGAATGACGTCACGATCTCAAACCTTATATATGAGGCGGTCAGAACGTTCGTCATTCCATTCTGAACTCTGACACTATGGTCTATCGATCTGTTCCTGTCTCTTCGGATGCTTCTTGGTATATAGCCCCTGTCTGTTTGGTTGCTCCTGTCTGTTCTATCATATTTTGTGTGTGTGTGTTGTGCAGCTGATTTTGAGAGATGAGCTTTCAATTTATATCTATATGTTTTGAGGTTGACTTCATCAGATGAATGTTTCAGCTATCAACGCTCTAGTTGCTGCCTTCAAACAAATTGTCACGCTGAGAACCTTGCTCATCAACCAAGCCTACCCCATCGAAAATATCAGGGAGGTCCAGACACGATTTGGAGGAGCTATTGTGGTCGAACTTGATGCATTCAGCGTCTTTTTGCCAGGGTAGTTGACATCTTCAAGCCTCAGCTTTCGGTTTTCACCCCAGGCAAATACAGCTTGCTCCACAAGAGGAGTGACACCAGACCTGCAGTCCTCAGTGAGATAACTGAGAATTAGTGGAGGAATATTACTTTTTTTTCGATATTTCTCGCAACATGAGTGTCAATAGTATTGCTTCTACTAGTGATGATATTGTTGAGGAATGTAGGAGAGCAGAGAAAATTTTGGGGAAGAAGAAGAATATATCTGCAGGCGATAAATTAATATGGAAGAAGGCAATAGGGGCGCATATAAGGGTATTTATTAGGGCAATCAGGCAAACCAATTCGACAGCATTGGTTTTGAGACAATTGAAAACTAACGAAGGACCTTTGAAACGTTTTCAGAGTTTGATAAGGAAAAAGAATTATATTGGGGCGAAAATTTGCAATCGTGAAAAATGGATTACATTGAGATTTGTTCCATTTGTCTTTGCGAGTAGAGTTAGGACAGGTCTAATTACCAAATTATGTCATGAGGAGTTGATGCAATTCCTGCATGACTCATGGCACATTTTGATACTTTGAATGAGAAAAACTTCAAGAAAATTCATCATGTTGAGAGTCAACATCACCTTTTGTGGTGAGTTTATCACAAGATCGGATGATGCGGGGATTGATAAATTGGAATATTTCAGTACAAGGAGTGCTCCAATGGATGAAGAAACAGATTCAGATTGTTGATTCACGAATAATGTGATTGATAGTATAGTTATTAATTTTTCAGAATTCAAGGAGGAGAGTAGTGGCTGGGCCATGCGAGTAATTTGTTCTTCAGGTATCAATACACCCCAAATTCCAAGATTGATGGGCAATGTTCGTTCTCTGTACCGTATTTATGAACGTCGGTGAATCACTGTTTTTGACCTTACCTATAACTGTGCCCTACGCTGAGAGGTCATTTTCCGAATCGGAAATAATCGGACATCATTGAATTTACGGAATAACTCATCACAAATGAGGCTGAGTGAGCATGCAATATTATCTATAGAAGCAAAAAAAAAACAAATGCAATGGAAAAATCAGTTTTTGTGAACGATGCAGACAGAAGAGCATGTAGAAGATATTTTCACTAAATGTTCATCATATACATGTTCGAGTTATGTTTGGTGATCAATTCTGAGGAATTTTGATACTGTATTGACTTTTTTGTAACGTTTTCTTGACTCAGTTTTTCAATTCATCCTGCATATGTTTTTCGATTTTGAATTTGATTCAAGTTATTCATATCACCCTGTGTATAACGATTGTCATTCAGTCTTCTGTCACCCTTCATCTTCAATACGTCATCTGCTATACGTCTGTTATACCTGATGATAGACCAACGACCGTCTATCATCAGATTTCTTGAGCGATCCGTTCCGTATATATTTCTGGATATTCTTAAACAGCGTATGCTTTCGGTGAGGTTTGAAAAACCAGGAGTATCAACGAAGGTAAACGTCATCTTCCAATCGCTATCCAGCCTAAAATGACCGATTTTGAAGAAATGGCTTGCTGAAACGCTTAAATATGCTAATCGTGCGATCTGGAACCTCACTTCAGCGTTGACAAGAGATCAACGCTGTTAGTGAAACTGGTCCTGAGTAATAATAAGCATCGAGCCTCTTCGTGGATTGCTCAAAGAACTAAGCACCACGCACTGGTTCCGAAAAGTGCTCGGAAGCACAGTGTTCACGAGCACAGAGATGCTCTGAGTGCTTGAACCAGCACTATAAGCACAATGCTTTGTACAGGTCTGAGTCATCCACTCACCTTCTTCTGTTGGAATTTCTTCATACGGAGCATCATACTCCACTCTGACGTGAGGCAAAACAACTGGAGGATCACTCTTCCCTTTGGCATTCTCTGCATAAACAGCAACTTGATATTCCTTGCCTGGCTGCAAACTGTGAAGTCGAAATAGTGGACGTTCACCGAGAACGCGATATTTCGGAGGTGGAAGTACACCTGAATGGAGATAAATAAAAAAATTAACAATAGGAGTTATGTCGAAAGTCCATTCGTTTTCCATGTACAAGTTGCATTCACGAGACAGATCAATATAAAATGAAGACATCAGTATTTCTTGTGAATATATTTATCGAAAGTCAATTCAAGTGGATGACACTGCATAGAGAAATCATTCTAACCTAGCTTACCAAATATATTTTTCAGTGAGAAATAAGGAGGCAAGGATTCAAACCGACAAGAAAGATTCGCTGATTCAACAAAATATGTTGACTAATATATTCACAACAAAATGTCTTGTTACTGTGAAAAAATTCATTACTTCGACAAGTAATCCAGTAACTTTATAAATCACAGTATGCGTCGAATCCGATAGTTCTGATGTTTTGCATACAAACTTGGATCATTCATTAGGCCAACATCATGAAAAAGTCTGCAAATAATCAGAACTACCGGATTTGACGCATACTACCCCTATATGTTCAGGCGACAAAGTTACTGGACTGAAGATAATCATTGAATAGGTCCATTATCCACACAATCAGATAATTTGTGATAGTGATAACATATTTGTGAAAGTTACAAATATTATAATCATTCTGTTGAAGGAATAACAAGAAATCAATTACTTTCCTCTGCGTGTAAACATTGATTTTACATCGTCCATTACATTGTCGTTCATCGAGTAGGTAGTGCTCATTATTGATGTGATTCAACTCATTCGTTTCTGCGTTGGTCTGATACAAGTGTTACTCAATCTGAGAACACACCACACCCTCACCCTCTTCCTCCCAAGCTCACCAAGTTACCCAAACTAACCGACGAATACGAGTGATATCATGATTGAACTTTCCTTTGCCAATCATCCCGTTTCCATGCAAATTCCGTACACTAACCTTGATCGCTTAGTGTGGTAACACCTGGCGGTTTCGAGGGCGGTGTGACGTCGGAAACTTCCAACACGAAACTTTGGTGCAAGCCGCCATCTTTCCCCGCGATACAAGACACCTCGAGCCCGTCTCCGTGCGATGTGTTGCGAACCAGGCAGCTACGGGGGGATTCTGGAGTCTCTGGAATCAAATCATTATGCAGATACAACAATGCAATACATCACTGTGAAATACTATTCAAATTCTCAATGTATTACTTCATAGGGGCCAGGTAGCCGTGCGGACAGAGTGTCCATATTCTAATCCGCATTCGCTTGCCGGTCGTGGGTTCGATTCCTGTCGACTGCAGAGATTTTTCTGATGGCCCAAGAAAGTGTTTGAGATCACACGTTAAAAGGTAAGGCGGCCTTCGTCATTCCATGCTCGCACAAGACTCTCGAAGACTTCTGAGGGTTGCTCGTAAGGGGGCAACCGAATGACGGATAGAACAATTTTAGAACAATATACCGAGTGACACGGACTCATGGTATCCCCACCTTCTCTCATTTGTTTTTCTACCTATCACTAGAGGACTCTTCCTCACATTTCAGGTTTTTTCGCACTGTCCGTTTCTTCTGGGAATGATATTAACTCCCAATTTTCAACTGGAACACCCTGAATTTCATTTCATGATTGGTTGAGGAATATCAAAACGAATTCAACGATACCAGGTTTGATTTAAACGATTACTGAAATATTCGCGTTCGAAGTTATAATACGATTAACAGGTGTGACGGCTCAACATCGAAACACCTATCTCTGTCACACTAATTGATGTCTTGGAAATTTCTAGCGCAAAAATACCTTTGTGATCGTTTGAAATATCCCGATCGAACCCAGTATCGTTGAATTCGTTATATTAATCTCTAACCAATCATGGAAGATGAAAAATAATCCTGAGATGTGAAAAAGTGTCCTTCCGTGAGCATAGTCAGAATTCGAAATTTCAGAATATAGGAGAAGAGGAGGTATACCATGTACATGATATATCTGAGAATATCCTCCTTCGAATGTTATCTCGACTTGAATTCTGATAATTATTTTGTGATATTCATTTCAATTATATCAAGTGTCGTGAGTTGATAGGAAAAAAAACATCCTACTTTGTTGCAGTTTTCAAGAATGGGTTTTATGTTTCAACATCTCTTTCTGAAATAAATAATTGTACACTTTTATAGTCACTGAATGTCCTTTCTCTTTGCTTAACTTGAATTATGAATTATTATTATGAATTGTTTATGAAGCACCTCCTACTAGAGTCCAACCGTAGTTGACCAGCAGGGAATTATTCCTGATGGTGTGTTCGCAGTGCTCATCACTCACAGGTTCATAGAGGTCAGGAATGAAATTTGGGTGTGGATGCTGTAAGTTGATCTTCATAGACATATTGCTACTCATGATTTGATTCGATAATACGATTATCGTGTGAGAAGTAGGAGGACAGGAAAATAATTCCGAACATTGTACCTACTGACCATGAGATATATCTCCCTAACGAATGGTATAAATAACGAATTACATTTGTGACGTGCGGCGACGCGGTGACGTGGCTTCGTGGCGACATGGCGATGATCAACGTTGTTTCATTCGTTTAGTAATAAGATGGCAATAAAATGTTCATGAAATACTATGTGAATATGCATGTTTTTTCCGAAGTTGATTTGGATAACGTTTTCCCATATTGAAATGAAGTGAACCATATATTACAGAGGAAAAATCCAGACCCAAAAGACAATTACATCACTGGCTCAGAATTCGAGTTAGTTCATTTTATCAACGTTGCGATGTGATAATAGATAGTCTAGTGATAATCGCCTTGAAAAACTTTTCAATAGTGTACCCGCGATGCTTCTGATACCAACTGATGATGATTATAAAATTCCTCTCCGCCCATTATGGAATGGAACTTACGCAGTACTTTCGTTGTGAAAAAATTTCATAGTAAATGATCAATAGCTGAGAATATATTCGAGAATGAAGAGAAAATGTATGATACACCCAGAATGCCATCTAGCTTATTTTATACTTGAGCTTTCCCATTTGATCGTCAATCCGAAAGATATCTGAGAATTTGGAGAAAGAGGTGAGACGCTGTCTTGGAGCGACCACCATTTAATAACAGTTCGTAATCATCGCTCCATATTCATAAAACTAATATAATGAATTATACTTATCAAGCTCCCTATTGATGGAATAAGATATAGGATGTTAACTTGAGGCAATCGTCATATCATAAAAAAATAAGAAGAATATATCTGAAGTGGGCATGTTAGCATTGGACATTCATCTTCTGGAGGGGCCGAAGGAAACAAATTCACATCATCAAAGGACACTGAGTATTCTTAGACCTCCATGTTTTTAGAGCTTTCTCGGTCCTTATCACCAAAATTCTTCCTGACCATTCATTTCTATAATCTGCAACTGTTTTTTCCTCCCCATGCTTGTCATTTCTGTTCTGAATTAGTTCATGCTGTAACTGTAGAAACTTTACGAACGATAAGATTTCCACAAAATTCTCAAACACACGACATGTTTTGCTAACACAGTAGCTTCGTCAGGTGACTGTTTTCTCTGATCGCTATTGTTTCGTACAATTGCTCACAATTTAATGTCATGGATGATGTCATTGTCATTTTTCAATATAAATCTCCGTATAATTCCAAGATTCTAATCAGTTTTGTTGGATGCAACACCTGTTCATGACTTTTTGCCCCATCAATTTAATTCTTATCTATAATTGATTTTCGCAATTCGAATGCGCCTTCTTAGGGGTACGAGACATATACCGGGTGGCTACGGAAGTATTGCCTACGGAATATCTGAGTTATTGTATGAAGTAGGTTTGTGAAATTTGAAGCGTTGATATAATGACATAAGAGCTAGAATTTGAGCATATTGACATGTCGAAGTTAACTTCCGGTCTGACCGGAAGTAACATCAACTTTCTTATTTTAAAGGGAAACCCTATTTTTTTTTCTTTTCGCTTTATTCAGCATTCAATTCCCTTTCCAATGACATATCACAAGTTGGTATCTAACCAGAAACTAGATCAGAAAAAAATTATTATTGAAATTCACCGAGTAGGCCGTGGAAGCAAAATGAAAGCCAAAAAATGACTTTCTATTATATCATTAGAAAGGAATGGTTATGCTGAATAGTACAGACAAGAAAAAGTTGTATGTTCCTATTTAAGTTATGGACCTACAGAGTATTGTTTTTTTCCCAATTTTTCCAATATTTTTTTTGGCGGCTTTTTATAACGCCGACGAATGAAAATAAAATATCACGGTAGTAGCAACTGTTATCAAGTGACGTATGGTTTCCATAGCCAACTTTTCAATTTTTGGCTTTCATTTTGCTTCCACGGCCTACTCGCTGAATTTCAATAATAATTTTTTTCTGATCTAGTTTCTGGTTAGAAACCAACTTGTGATATGTCATTAGAAAGGGAATTGAATGCTGAATAAAGCGAAAAGAAAAAAAAATAGGGTTTCCATTTAAAATAAGAAAGTTGATGTTACTTCCGGTCAGACCGGAAGTTAACTTCGACATGTCAATATGCTCAAATTCTAGCTCTTATGTCATTATATCGACGCTCCAAATTTCACAAACCTACTTCATACAATAACTGAGATATTCCGTAGGCAATACTTCCGTAGCCACCCGGTATATCTCTATATTTATCATGAATTTCATGATGATTTTTGGTAAACCTCGTCTGACATTGTGTGTCTTGAAATTTGCAGTCATTGAATGCGCTTTCAGGGCACGGGGCCCTGCATTTGTAATGATAACCTGTTTATTTCGAATCGATCACCTTCTATTCTTTGAGATGATGACGATTGGAATTGACACTAACAATGTCCATTGGAACTAATTCCTTCTTCATGAAAAATAATAATTTTGTTTTTCTGACATATTTTTCACCATTATACTTGTTGAACTTCTCACGTCGGTTGGAGATGGTCTTTTTTGAGTCCGAAACATGTTCCCTTGACTCATTTTCACATCTTTGGAAGTGTGGAGATGACCTTGAGCTTTCCTCCTATCCTTCGATGAAAGTTTTTTTTGGTCATTAACAACTTGATCCATGAATCTATACTAGAACACCATATATATTGTGTGCTTATAAATCATACAGGAAGCTCGAGAATTGTGGATGATGGATAATTATGACTTCCGCTTTCAAAGATCGACTGGAGTATGACTTGCATATGTTACACATATATTTATGACGAATTTCATCAGCAAAACAGGAAGAATACCATATATACTCATGATTTTCACCAATGAACAGATATCAATATTGGCACGAACAATGTTTCCAATACAAATCGATGATTAGTTGAGAGTAACTACCTGCTCTAATCACAGCTTTGAAAAACACAGTTCTCCTTATAGTGTCTGCATTACCCGGATCTCAATTCCATACTAGAAAACAATGAACCCACGGCGTAGCCGTAGCTGAAAATGGAGTTCTGGCTGGAATAACTGCATCGAAAAGCAACAGCTTTGTCGAACTTGGTAAATCTCTGGAATCTCAGTAAATCAGCTAGGAGAGATTCCTCGCAATCTGACCACTTTTTCTCCATAGGATATGTTCAGCAAAAATTACTCTTCCAAGGTCATCCGACTCCGACGAGCAAGCTGGCAGCAAGCTGCTGATAATGACAACAACATTGAATGATCCGTGACCTTTTCGTGTTCCGTGACGTTTCAGTGTCATTTCCTTGGCGTTTTCGTGGCAATTCCGTGGCATTTCCGTGACGTTTGTGTATTCCGTGACGATTCAGTGACGTTTCTGTGACAATTCCGTGGCATTTCCGTGGCGTTTCTGTGTTTCGTGACGTTTCCTTGACATGATTGTCTCTGTGAAGGTTGTAGTTTCTGATATTTTTCAATATTTCACAGAGACCCATGTGCTCTTGAATTACCAGAAGATGATAGTTTAACAAAAAAAAATCAATCAATAGAGTTTGTGGCATCAAAATCAAACTGATAAAATTTCCATCGGAATTAACGTCGGTAAACCAAGCACACTGTATATGTACATACCTAGGTATTCGGAATCCTATATCAAATCAACGTTACCTGAGTTTATTCGCATTAGTAGATTTCACTTTCATTCGCCAGTTTGTTAA